CGAAGCATCATGGCAGGAAGAGAGATCCTCCGTCGAGGGATGGGATGACTAGTGGGCAATGGTGAATCCATCATCGTCTAGAATGAGCCCTGGCTAAGTCCTGAAACCCCTCTTGGCCCTCTTGGTCTACCCACCTTTTCGTCGCTTAATCTCTGAGTATCATACCTCATAGATCAAGGCAGTAGCTCGTGGGATTGGAGAGAGATTCGTTAAATCATCCTGCATTGCGAACAGCTAATTTGCCTAATTCTGATAAGCTCTTCTTGCCCGACTGATAAACTTGTATGGCTTCCGTAGAAGGACGGAAAATACTCAGTCAGGTCAGGTTATGGGATCACTACAGCTGATCAAACGACAATTTGTCATCGTGAATTTTTTGGACGGCTCCAAAAATCAAGCATTGTTTTTGGTGAGCAGTAGTGGAAACGCTCCATGTTGGGGTCCAACTTGTTCGTAGAGGGATCTAAGTGGACTCTAGCTGCAGACTTTGTGGTAACCCCGAGAACATAACACATGTCCTTCGCGATTGCCAATTCGCCAGAGAGGTCTGGAACTCCACCCTTTTGCAACACCAGACACATCTCTGTACGGTACAGACTTTGGATTTCTTATCTTGAACAACAACAGTTTTCAAAGTTTTATTAGTGATTTTCATGTTTTGGAGTTTTAAAAGATTTTTCACAAAACTTGGACTTTTAAAGTGCATTTTGGAGCAAAAGTACATCTTGGATAAATTCAGACCGTCAGAAATTTGGCAATAAATGAAGATCTTCTCACCGTCTGATCAGTCCGGTCATCCCAAAATTTAGAGACATTATAGAGAAGACAACCAGGTTTCCAATGCACTTGGAATCAATGCAGATCTTCAGATATCATAAATGCACTGAAGGCAGATCAACTCAGTCCTGAAAAGTGAAACAACTCTGACCCGCGGCCAAAGCTCCCTGCACCCGGCCCAGCCATTCTCACCTGTGATGGACCTAGTTCCGAGCCTCAGAAGTCCAACCAAGGCTCAAGTGGACTCATGCACTCATTTTACAAATCCTAAACACCTAGAACAGGAGATACACTATAAATACATTGTCTCTAGGTCTTTTGTAACTAAGCCTCTTTCATGTTTTAAGGACAGTACTTCATTTAAGTTTTAGGTTTTACTTTTATGCATTTGTAGAAGGTTTTTCTTGCCAAACCTGTCTCCAATAAGAGAAGTTTTTCTTCATCTTTTATCTTCTTTACTTTATTGCTTTTCATTTCAAACCAATGATGATGTCAAGCTAAGCTATATCTGAGTAGTTACCTTATTGGGTAAAATGACCATCAAAAAGGACCCCATAATCGATGACATCTAGGCCTTTAGGTTAAAGGACTTCGATTTTAAATGACTCTCCCATTCATCTCATTCTTAATGTTGTATGCTGGATTGATCACCCAGTGTCTGATCTAAAATTGAATCAGAGCCACAAGAGTGATGTATCAGGTTACCTGAACTGGATCTTATGGACGTAACCGTTATAGGAGACGTAAGCTACCTATGGAGGAGACGTGAGCCGAGATGAATTTAATGTCTAATGCATGATCTCTTTCGCGCCAAGAGACAAAAGCTACTTGTCTAGTTAAAGTGATTAGATGATTAGGGTGACGAGAGTTGGCTAATCTTATAAGTGTCTATTCTAGTTCCAGAGTTATAGAAAATCTTTATCTAGATTCCTTATGTTATAGATCATGAACCCTAGAGATAAACTCTAAATCCAGCGCCTTTTTTTATATTGTTTTCAACCGATTTCTTTTCAACGTTTTATTCCCTGCTTAGTTTATTTGATTTAGTGACAACCAAAACCTCTTTTCATCTAATTAGGTCAACAATTGTTATTAGTATCAGTTAGGAGTCCTCAACACACAAATCCATGTTGATTGGATCCCTAAGTACTACTGCGTTTGCTGTGCACTTGCAGCTTGTTTAGGGTAAAACTTGTAGTTGCCCACATCACTAATATCAAGTTTTTGGCGCTGTTGCCGGGGATTTGTTTGCTGTTTGATTGATTTCTTAATGTAATTTCAATTCTAGACCACAAGATTTTCGAGTTCTGCTGATGTTTTTCTGACTTCTCTTTTTATCTTTGCTTTCTTTGCTCTCCAGTGCATAAACACTAGGAGAAATCCTGCTAATTTTGTACCACCCCTAGACGAGATTGACAAACACGAAAGAGAACTCTGAAGACGCAGGAGAAGAACGCTTGATATATTCATAAAATGCATCATTTAGTTTGCATAGTTTTGTCCAAATCATGTCATATTGCATGCATTTTAGGTCTTTAAGCATTAATTTAGGACTTAGGACCTTTTATTAGGTCCAAGAGAGCTTTACATGGTTTGGAGTGTCAAACAGGTGCTTTTGGAGCTTATTTGGAGTGGGAGAAGTGAACCAGGTAGAGAAATGGTGTTTGAGTGATCAAAAATGATGAAAAAATGCAACTTGGAGTTTCTCGGAAAAACACTGTACCGCAGGTCGATGTTTCTTGGCTAAAATCCATACCGCAGGCAGGATATCTCGGCCAAAACACGTACCGACTGCTTAAGCTTCTCGGCTAAAAATCTCATGTGTCGATACATTTCAAAGATCACATTACTCGAAGGTCTTCCCGGCCGATTCAGCTTTTGTGATCTTCATGAAAGTTTGAGAGCATTGAGTTTAGTTTCCAGAAAAAATAGAATTAGGAGATTTGAAGTTGTGAGCTGTGAGATATTGCACTCCGAATTAGGACATGTCTAGAAGCCAATTCGGACCTTGCAATGCACTTCAAATATCAGCCTTCCGGGAACCGTTTCTCTCCCCGGATGCACTCGAACTATTCAGCAATTTTCTAGGTAATTGAACTATATTTTCTCTGGATTTTGAATCAGGTCATTTGGAGCAGTATCCTAGAAGTTATGTTGCCTCAAACGTAAAGTGGTCCGAGTGATAGGAAATGCTGCGACATGGGTGTGTGACTTGATAACTCGAAGCAGCATAAGGTTTAACCTCTAGGAGCAAGCTGCGACATGGCTGTGTGGGTAAGGCAGCCCGGAGCAAGGTAGAGATTTCCAGAATCAAATTTGGCGAAGTCCACAAAGCTGTGCGACTTGGGAGTGCGAGTGGGACATGAAGCGGAACCATCTAGCACATGTGTTCGCAAGAAAGACCGACTTGGGTGTGCGGCTTGGGCAGGGACGTGACCATCTCGTACATCAGGCACAAGACCCAACTGAACCGGGTCAGTACCCAGTTTGTTATGGGCTGACCCTGTCCAAACCCTTTTCTATAAATAGTTTTTTTGGGAAAAACCCTAAGGAACATTCATTCTCTCTTTAGTTTATTTGCCTCTTTTGTGTAAAACCCAGATTTTTTAAGAGATATCACGTCTTTAATCATTGGAGGCTGTTTTTTGTCATTTTGTTTTATCATTTAAAGCTTTTAATCATGATTAACATCACTTCTTGCAAAAGATTAAGTGTATTCATCATGATTAGTGAGTAGTCTCTTTATAAGGTTTTAGATAGGTAGATTAGGATGCAAAGATGTTAGATTAGGGAGTTTAGGATTTAGATCTTGCATTTTTCTTTCTCTAAATAGATGTTCTTAATGCTGGGTTTCTGATAATCACTTAAACCCATATTTTAGGCATTTCATGCACCAAAAGTGTTTTATGAAATGTCTGAACCAAGCTATGTTATAGGTTTATGCATCAAGACCATGAAAATGATTGTTTTGTTCATAAATGACATATTAGAGCTGATGTTTAATGCTTATTGATTCATATTTCACAAATGGGAATTTGGTTTGAAAGTAGATTAGTATAGAGATTATGAGCTTCATGAGAGGATTAATCTATCTTTGAGCTCTAAGTTGATTAGAACTGCTTGATTGTTTGTTATTAGCTCTCTAGTTTAACATTAATGTATCCTAATCAATTATCCTGTCTAGAACATTTGTTTCATCATCTTATAATCATCATCATCATCTGTTTGCTTTTTTTTATTGCTTGTTATTTCTTTAATCTTGTTTAGAACTGTTTAGTGTCTTGTTTGAAACCAAAACCCACTTGTCTTGCTTGAATTAAGATACGTGGCACATAACCTAGTGATCTGAACCCACAAGATGGATTGACACCCTTTTTACTACACTGATAAAGGGATTGATAACCCAAAAGAACTTGAAAATTCCTTGTTTATCAATTGGCGCCGTTGCCAACTTGTGTAGATTTAGCATTAGTTTCTGCTTTGTTCATTATATCAAGCTTTTTACGTTTTTTTACTGATAAGACTTTCAAATTTTGTCTTTGAGTTACAGGTGTATGAGAACAAGATCAAGAAATTCTGACCCTCCTCTTCCATACAACAACAATATCAACTTGTTAGAAAGAAGAGCAAGAGAAAGAGCTGCTCATCTAGAGAGGTTGGGAATGGAACAGCATGTGGAACAAGCTGAGCACCAGGCTAAAAGGAATCAAGCTCAGGCTGATAGAAATGAACAGCATGCGTTTGTTAACCAGAATATGGCAGAGAGGAATCAGCAGCAAGCGGCTAGGAATGAGCAGCAAGCTCATATGAATCAGCAGCCCCTCCCAAACCCTCCCAGACGTCAAGAGCCTCCTCCAGTGTTTTTGGGAGAGAATGACCGAGCCAATGCACACCAATACAGGGCAGGCATTCAGGCTCCTCCAGTCCAAAACAATAACTTTGAGGTGAAGGCATCATTGCTTAACATGTTTCAGAATTCAAAGTTCCACTGACTACCCTATGGAGGATCTACTAGAGCACTTGGATCAGTTTGACAGGGTTTGTGATCTCACTAAGAATGGAGTTACAGAAGACAGCTTCAAGCTAAGTTTGTTTTCTTTCAGCTTGGGGGATAAAGCTCATCAATGGGAGAAGAACTTACCAAGGGGATCAATTCAAACTTGGGAGCAGTGTAAATTAGCCTTTCTCTCAAAGTTCTTTTCCACATCAAGGATCGGACAGCTAAGTTGAGGAATCAAATCTCAAGCTTTACCAGCACAAAATGAAAGCTTTGGGGAAGCATGGGAAATGTTTAGGAGTTACACAAACCAATGTCCCCATCATAGTTTTCTGAGGCTTCACTCTTGATTACCTTGTATAGAGGAGTCCTTCCAAAGATCAGGAATCAGTTGGACACAGCTTCTAATGGGAACTTTTTGGCTAAAGAGACAAATGCTGCTTTGGAGCTGGTAGAAAATTTAGCCATGAGTAATGATACTTATGGGGAGGATTATGACAGGGCAAACAGAACTGAGGGCTCAAGTAATGAGCAAAGAATGGAGAGATATCAAAGAGCTGCAGGTCAAGATTGACAAAGTCCTAGTTGCCACTCAAAAGCCTATACATTATGTGGGAGAGTTTAATGAGAGGAGTTGCTTTGACAATGTCAATGAAGAGGGTCTTACTCAAGAAGAGTTTAATGAGAACAAGTTTCAAGGTTACAACAACTTCAACAGAAACCAGAACTTGTCTTATAGAAGCACCAATGTAGCCAACCCCAAGATCAAGTATACCCTCCTCAACAAGGTCAACAAAGCTTTGTTCAAAAGAATCAGTTCCAAGGTAACTTCCAAGGCCAACAAGCTTTTCAGCAACCAACATTTCAGCACCAAGGGAATATCTTTAATAACCAAGTCAGATTCCAGTAACAAAGGCCTCCACCTCCTGAATTTGGTCCGCCACAAGTTCAGCCACTTGACATGCGAGGAAATTCAATAAATCATTCCCTCCGCACTGGCAACGTCCCCAACATAATTGCAAGGAGGGGCCAAGGAACGCCTTGCGCTTGGACCTGCAAGGAGAATTTGGTCCGCCACAAGTTCAACAGGGTCCTGATATCAGTGTTGTTCTCCAACAGCTCTTACAAGGACAAAAAAAGCTGGATTCCAAGTGTCATGACCTGAGTTCTAAGATGGAGATACTAGGCTCTGAACTAAAGACTCTTCAGAAGAACAAGGGCATCTCCACTTCAGAAACTCATGTCTCTCTTCTTGGCAAAGCTGTTCGAAACCCCAAAGATTATTGCAATGCAATATACTCAAGTGATGATCACATTGCTGCTGTTTAGGAAATTGAACACCTTCTTTATGGTCAAGTATCTGATGAATTAACCTCCACCAATGCAGAAGAAGACGCCATTATAGAAGACTTTGTGAGCATGTTCTCTGATCTCAATGAGGACATTGAGAAAGAAGGTGGGGAGGCAGTTTGTTTTGCTAGGAACAAGAAGATTTCTGATGGTACTGAGGATAAGGGGCTGAGAACAGATCAAGAAACTCCTCAAGATGGAATCTCCAGCCTTGATTCGGCAATAGTGAAGCCTACATCCCTCCCAAAGCTGGAAAACCCAGGAAAATTCACCATCTCTTGCACTCTTGGGAAGTTCAGAGTTGAGAATGCCTTGTGTGATTCAGGCTCAAGTGTTCGTATGATGTCTCTTGACACAATGGAGAGGCTAGGGATCAAGAAATTAAAAGACTACCCTTCTTCAATTACTTTTGGAGATTCTAACTCAAAGAAACCTCATGGGCTGATAGATATCCATTGAAGGTTGGTGAGTGCATAGTCCCCACAGATTATGAATAAGTCCAAATAGCTTCCTCTTTTTCTTAGGACCTTCTTTCTTAACACTACAGGGGCAAGAATTGACTTTGATACTCAAAGAGTGGTGCTTACAAAGGTGGACAAGGATGTCTCTTACCCTGGTGAGCCTCCTTTAGCTGAATTTTTTGGATCAGTGGTTCAAGAGGTTGATGAGCCAAGCTTGAAATAAAGTATGTGGGAAGTGTTGGTGTTTTAGGAGGAACTCAACCCCCTTCAGCTAGAGAGAAGGAGAAAGAACCCCACATCAACTCTGTCTACAAGTATGAAGATGGAGAGCATTCCATTAAAGAAGAAGACATCTTGCTCACATGGTCTCCTACACTAAGTGAGTTTGAGATGATCAACAACAAGGATGATGGTTCAGATTTAAAAGAAAAGAACCATGAATTTGAATCTTCTTCTCAAGACTTTAATCTCACTCCTTGGAAATGTGATGATGGAGCTGTGAAGTATAAGCTGGATTGCAATAGAAAATCAGGGCTATTTGCTGAAGTCAGGGTAGATCTCACAAAAGCAATCATTGACAAGGATCTTGATGGTATTCAAGAGCTGATGCAAAAGGGTCTCAAGTTGGGATTAAATGAGAAAGGGTCTGATGGTCCTCCAAGGATACAGAGCTCAGCTTTCATGCTTAAGACAATTGACATGTTTAGGAGCATCAGTGCTCCTCCTCACCCCAATTAAGAAAAGGTTCTGAAAAGTTAAACTTAGTGACCTAAAACAAAGTGCTCTTGGGAGACACCCCAAAGCTTATCCTTGTACATGGCCTTTTTCAATCTTTTCTCTTCTCTTATATGTTTTAGAATGTTTTGATGGGTTTTGTGAAGTGTTTTCAGGGCTAAGGTGACTTAGGGATGCTGTGGTCCAAGGACAAAGTGAAAAGGAGTTTGAGAACAAGCTGAGAAAGGACTTAAGGGATGAGAACTTGTGAGCCGCCTGGTGTGCTACATGGGTGTGCGAGATGGACAAGGTCAGGTCCCATCTAGCACACATGTTTCCAAATTGCACCTACATGGGTGTGCGAGTCAGTTCTCTCCTTATCCAAGCAGCACACATGCTCGCAATTCACACCCACATGGGTGTGCGAGTCAGTTTTCTCCTGATCCAAGTAGCACACTTGTTCGCAATTCAGACCTATATTAGTGTGCGAGTCAGTCAACCAAGGGCCATGTCGCACACATGTTCACTTGGTGCTGCTAGATGGTTGTGCGGCTCAGAAAACAAAGATCCAAGTCGCACAAGAGCTCGCAAATTGAACCTACATGGGTGTGCGGGTTGGTGTCTTCTAGATCCATGTCGCAGCAACAAAAAAAGGCGAGAACTTTCAAGAAGCTTTATGTGCAACTTGGGTGTGCGAGATAGGAAGGAGAGCAGCCCATGTCGCACAATTGAAGAAAGTCAAGCTTTATGTGCGACATGGTTGTGTGAGTCGGTCCAAGATCAGTCCATGTCGCACAAGGGAGTACAAGCCAAGCCAAATCCATCTCCAGTGATGTCTAGCCTCACCTGGTGCAGATACTCACTCCCCCTTTGCATAAGAACCATACCAAGTATCATTCCAAACACTTGTATATGAGCATTTAGTATTTTTCTCTATCTTTTGCATTTCATGTTTGATTTTTCCTCTCTCTCATGTTTTTATACACAAGGGACTGTGTTATTTAAGTGTGGGGGAGAAGCTTTGTGTTTACTAATCATGTTATCTATGTTCTTATTTTCTCTTTTGCATTTTGAGTCTCATCTAATCATGCATATAACTTAAGTGCATAGAAAAAAAACAAAAAAAAATTTGAAAATTTTAACACAAAAAATGTTCATTTAGTTGCATTCACATTTTAGGATTGAGTCTAGAGTTGCATAATCATATGCGTCACACACTTTTTGGTTTGTTTCAGAGCGGTTTAGACCCCAATGCCAGTGTTTGTAAATGAAATGTAAATCCCCTAGTGAAAATAATAATAATAATAAATGAGTGATAAGAGAGTGTGAGGTTCATGAGAGGGTGGATTTAAGTGTGAGACTTTGGGTTAGAGGCATTTTAGGTGTTGGGGTGAGATGAGTCATTGCCTTGTATGCATCAATTTCTTTTTACCTTTAACCTTCCGCCAAAGTTTGATCATTCAAAGAGAGATCCCCTGCTGCATTGAACCTACTTAAGCATTGAATGAGATCATTTTTTTGTCTCATAACCTCATCCCTTAGCCAAACAAGTTCATTTGATTAAGCATCACTTGATCCACATTGTTACATCTTAATGAATGTAAAGGACTGAGGAATAAGAATGTTTGTGGAGATCATTGTTTGAATTTGAAGCATTAAAGTAAAGTCTTGTATTGCATTTAAGAATTAGCAACTTGGACCCTGAATTTGAATTCTTTTTGTGGTTAACTCTCTCTCCCCATAGGAAATGTGAACTCCAAACTCACAACCTCTTTCTCATTTGTTCTTTTTGCTTAAGGACAAGCAAAGGATAAGTGTAGGGGAGTTGATATATTCATAAAATGCATCATTTAATTTGCATATTTTAGTCCAAATCATGTCTTATTGCATGCATTTTAGGTCTTTAAGCATTAATTTAGGACTTAGGAGCTTGCATTAGGTCCAAGATAGTTTTGCATGGTTTGGAGTGTCAAATAGGTGCTTTTGGAGCTTATTTGGAGTGGGAGAAGTCAACCTGGTGGAGAAATGGTGTTTGAGTGATCAAAAATTGTGAAAAAGGCATCTTGGAGTTTCTCAGAAAAACATTGTGCCGCAGGTCGATGTTTCTCGGCTAAAATCCATAACACGGGCAGGATCTCTCGGCCAAAACACGTACCGGTTGCTAAAGCCTCGGTCAAAAATCTCCTGTGCCAATACATTTCAAAGATTGCATTACCGGAAGGTCTTTCCGGCCGATTCAGCTTCTGGATTCTTCATGAAAGTTTGAGAGCATTGAGTCTTGTTTCTAGACCAAATAGAATCAGGAGATTTGGAGTTATGAGCTGGGAGATATTGAAATCGAAAGAACGACATGTCTAGAAGCCAATTTGGACCCATGCAATTCAATTCAAAGATCAGCCCTCCGGGAACCCTTGCTCTCCCCGGATGCACTCTCACTCTTCAGTAATGTTCTAGGTAATAGAAGTAATTTTCCTTTGGAGTTTGAATCAGGTCATTTCGAGTAGTATCCTAGAAGTTATGTTGCCTCAAATGCAAAATGGTCTGAGTGATAGGAAATGATGTGACATGGGTGTGCGAGTTGATTAACTCGCAGTAGCATAGGGTTTAATCTCTGAGAGCAAGCTGTGACATGGCTGTGCGGGTAAGGCTGCCCGGAGCAGGGTAGAGACTTCCAGAATCAAATTTGGCTAAGTCCACAAAGCTGTGCGACTTGGGAGTGCGAGTGGGACATGAAGTGGAACCATCTAGCACATGTGTTCGGAAATGAGACCGACTTGGGTGTGCGACTTGTGCTGGGATCTGACCA